GCAACTTGTGGTGCTCTCTGCAAAGGTTTTCTCTTTAGAGATTTTTTTTAGAATGAGTACGAGAAATACATGAGTTTTAAAAAAGTGCAAAGAAACAGAGCTTTTGAAGGTGAATATAGGATACAGAAATATGAGTAAACTAAGATAGGAATGCTTTACCATTTTCATGGGTGCTTTCACAGGGCCTTCTATTATTTTTACCACGGTAGTATGCCAAAACTTCAATATGTTATTTTGTTCAACTTGGAATACATTGTGATTACGTAGAAAGAAAAGTCACCTTGACACACAGAACAACTTTACATCTTCAGAAATTAGTGATTTCGACTTCGAAAAATTTGATATACATGTGCTATGTTGCATAACAGTAGCATTACAATGTTATGAAGCTTTATTAAATGAAGAGAACACAGTACACCAAGCTGACTGTTGGTTATTGTCTGATTTACTTAAACATATTTCTGACATCCAATTACATACTCGTTAGCTATATGTGTGTAAAAAAAGCTGAAAATTAGTTGATTTGAAGATAAAGAGGCAGTTAAGGAAGCACTTTAATAAGCTAGTCTTTAAATTGATATTACAAAACCCATCATACATCTGCTATGCTGAAGTTACAAGTATGAGATAACTTGTTTGTTGTTATAAGTCAGTCTGATTTAATCAACATAGTTTGCTTACATTGTGTTTGCACAGGAAACAGGTCCCTAAAATACTGTACAAGACTACTTAAAAACAGAAGTCTAACAAATTTAATAGAATTAAACTTAAATTGGAAACCGGATAGACATAGCAGTACTGTCCCTCTTAAATAGTAAACAGTGATCTGTTGAAAGAGAAACTTCTCAGAGACACTCTCCCTACACTTCTTTGTTAAAATCCCGTCCCCTCCCCTCCTCTTGAAGCAACTAATTGTCTGCAAAAGATGCTGCAAGCACAGAGCCCATCTTCATTCAGTAACCCAAGGTCCATTACAAGGAAAGACAAGGTCTGAAATGAAGTAAATCTACATCAAATTGATTCCAAGGCAAGCACAAGCATAAGTTGATTGCACAAAACAACTAGCATAAATTGTTCTCTCTGAATAACCTGGCATGCAGTACCAGGAATGGGAGGCTATAGAGACACATAGGCCCTACAGTATACTCTGCAGTTGTCTGCTAAACACAGCTGTACTGCTACCTCCGCTCCTATCCTCCTTCCTGAATTTGCACCCAGTATACCTCAATATGATCTAATTGACGAGAATCAGTCCTCAAGTCCCTCTCCAGCCAAATCTGCTTCTTACAACAGGCTCCTTCTACCAGCCCACATTTCTTGCCGTAACATGGTTCAGCTTGTTTAGCAGCTTTCATTTTGTAATTTTAACTCTATGATATCATCTCCCCACTCTTTGCATTATATTACTACTTGAAGGTATATTGTCAGGGCTCTTGAATACCTCTCTCCTGCCGCACAAATCATATACCTATAAGTAACATTTCTATAGGAACTGGGGCTTTTTTCATATAGCTAACTACTCTTGACATGTAATTCACATTATACTTTCCCCGTTAGAGGTAGTAACAGCATAGCAATAGTCAAATAAAAAGTCCCAAATGGAAATAAGGCATATTATTGGCATCTGTTTATCATGCAAACAACAAAAATGCCTGCAGGACAGAGAAGTAAAGTGTGTTAGGAGGGCTTAAGGGAAGACTCAGGATAACTACAAGGGTAACTATAAATTACAAGAGTGAGTTTATTAGTTTAGCTCTACAGAACATTAGAACAAGAGTTAAGGGCACTTTTGAGCCATAGAAATAGGCTCTTTATTCATAAATAGAAGTTAAGTAATCTAAAAGAATTAATTCTTTTATATTCTGAGAATTCTGGGTTTGTTTTTTTTCCTTCCTTTCCCTAGTTTGTGTTCTCAGATTGTGCCTTGCTCTAATAACTATTTGTGTATGTAAGCATCTGCTGGATAAAACTGTACACAGGAACTTTGAGAATGGTTCTGTCATTATATATTTATGTAATATTTACCAGTGGATTCATATCCCAATTGCAGACTATACCCGGTATATATTATTATATTATTTTGCTCAGTGTATAATTTGGTGGGGTTGGTAGAATCTACATATTTCCACAACTTCACAATACCCAACCTATCGACCAAACCCAACTCCAAAATCTATTAGTGGACTTCAATTGCTAAAATAATCACCACTTCCAAATTTATATGCATAATCCATCTTTTTGAGAGTTTTCTTGTGAAAGAACACACTATTTCACAACCTCTAGTTAACATACAAGACTAACATTGCATTTTACATTGTCTTCATAGGATAATCATTACTCAAGTGTGACTGAAAGGATTTCAAGGTCATTTGTATTCCTGTGTGTTCTTAGTCTATGTTGATTTCTCACATTATCATAAGAGAAAAGCCTTGAGTTGACAATGTGCATGACATTGTTTCAGTTCCACAGGTTAACTTATTTTTAATATTGCTTTGAAAGGACTCGTCACATCATCTCTTTCAACAATATGCAAAACTATATCAAGAAAACAAAGTCAACAGAAATACTTTACTTCTGCTACTACTACTTCCAAGCAACACCAACACTACTACATGCAGAAATGAACAGAAATACTTGCTAAAATGTCTCCAAGACTACTATCCAGTAATTCAATTCATCATGACAAACAAAACCTAACTATCTGTGGATCTAACACAAAACAAAAGACTCACACATACCACAACATCACACACACAAACACACACAAAGAGAATGAGCCAGCTGCAACAGAATAGCTACCTGTCCCTTCATTATTCACTACAAATCTGAGGTTGGAGCCTGTTACCTAGTTCTACCTTAGTCCATTTTCAGTATTACTCTGAAGACAAAAAAAAAAAAAACACACACAGAGAAAAAAAAACAACCCACAAAACCCACCACACCACACCACACATACACCACCACACACAACCCACAACAGTCTCCCAGGCTATTACTGTCAAGATTCCTTTTTAAATAATCTTCATTGTAACACGGAGCTAAACCAAACAACTTCCAAAAATGCATGCACACATGCACACATCAGATTCTGACGAACTGTACGTATGGTCATACACATACACACACTTTCCCTAATATATACATATAATGTAGTCTGAGCACTACCATCACATATGATCTACTACTAATAGCTTCATAATCATCAAGAGTTTGTGTGTCGCCAAAGAGTTCACTTCTTTTACTACGAAAAATCATGAATTATTTATAGATTTATTAGGAAACGCTACTGAATATATCCCAGATACAAAATTCAAATTATTTCTATCAAAAAAACCAAAACCGGACTTAAAATTCTAATTCACAGAACTTCAAATTCTGTACTCATTAGTTTGTACAGCAAGAGAAAGAACAAGCTTCCTACATACAGATACAGAAAAGGCATTATTTAGTGATATCTACAAGAAAGAATATTGAGACCTTATTAAAATAAGAGCAACATACTCAAGTTTTGTATTCCTATGTATATTTCTGTGTATATTTAGAATATATATATATTTATATATTCTGTGTATATTTAGAAAGTTCAACAGGGAAAAAAACAAACCCAGTTTGTTTAAATAACATTGACTAAACTCTCACTACAGTCAGGGTGACTGCACTCCTAATAAGAGTGAAAATTTAATTTCACTCCCTTCCAAAATATTTTACTTTAATCCCTAAGTTTGATTTACTGGGAAAGTATTCCTATCTAATTAGACAGCAAAAGTAAAATGGATAGGTTTAAACTAAACTTCGTCCTCCTCTGACTTTGTAACCTTATGTAACAAAGATTTCTACCGTTACAACATTCTTATGAGTTTTCATGTCAAGTCACAATCACACAGCTCATAACATCTGCTAGACAAAGGGAGAAAAAGTGGTATTTGATTATCATTTTCAAGATTATATAACATATGTACTTTGTTTTAACACCCCAGAGTTTATTCACAGTTGCATTTTATAAGAATGTCCTGTAACTCACTGAAGTGTTAAGTCTTATCTAGTTAGTATTGTTTCCATAGTTCTCCTTTGCTAGCATCAATCTCACAAGATGACACAGCACAGAAAGAAGAAAAAAAAAAAAAAAGGCAGCAAGCCACAATTTAGACCATATTATACTGAAGAAGTCGCATGACAATTACAGGACAGGAAAGCATCAATTCAAGAACTACAAACATGCAGTTTCTACTTCCTTCCGTAAGAGTTTCCTGCAGATATCTTCCAGAATAGTGTAACTCAAAGTTGATTTTGTTTATTAATTATTTTGACATAACCTCCTACTTCTAAGTGACCAGCCAACTTCTCCAAATGCAGTGTACTATTTCTACTTGCTCCATATTTTCACTTGGGATACAAAGCCATTTGATTCTGTGATACCCTCTCAGCACTTGTATTTACTATTCAGCAGTTAAAATCCAGTGCACAAAGGCAACAGTCAAGTTATCTGACAATACATTTGTTTTCACATTAACATGTTGTCAGCATTCACAGATGAGACGCAGAACTACTGTATCAGTCTGTAAACATGAAGAATGCTCACTGAGTAGACAAGCAGTAATACTTCCACGCCTCATCGTTTTTCACATTCATATTTCTAAGTGTGAGAATCATTCTTATATTGCATGCTGTTCCATTATGAGGCATTAACACTAAACACAGCTAATTATACTTTATTTCTTCTCCAGAGATTAGTCCAGTAGGAAGAAATAATGTGAGAAAGATAAGAACAAGAAGCCATTTAACACCCTACATATTAGTAGGATGTATGCAAATTGCATATTACAAGCATGAATACTACAAGCATTCAATTATATTCTGCCTGTCTTTTGCAAGATCAATTCTAAATGTTGAAAGGATTAGATCCTAATCAAATCATCAGGCAGAACGGTACATCAAACAAGAAACTGTATAGTTAAAGAATAATTTAGATGTAATTCATAGCTCCTATAAGAAATACTCACCAAGATCTGTATTGGGGCCAGCAAGTAGCTGCTTAAATTTGTCTAATCGGGATGCTTCTCTTTCAGTTAATGCAGGAGTAACTGAGGTATTATAGTCTGCCACTCCACTCACCAAGGGAGGTGTGGAAGTTTGTGGAAGGGACTGTGATCTCTGAATGGAAGAATTTTCACTAGCATTATCTGAAGGGAAAAAGAAGCATAACAGTTAGCCTCAACTAGTGAGAAGGCTACTAATAACTTGAATTTAATTTGTAAATTTAAAATAGAATTATGTTTTGGAGAAATGTAAGCCCAAGTACAGCACAAGTTTAGACTTCAGATGACTTGGACTTAGCAGGAGAAGCATTCCTTTTCCAAGCAGTATTCCACAATTAAAACATGTCAATTAGAGATCATACTAACAGCAAGGCTAATTGATTTCTAAAATCTCTGTGCTACTGAAAGTTCTTTCTATCTCCCTCACCATTCTAAAATAAAATTAAAAAAAAAAAAACCAAGAACTGGGAAATCATTGCAATTGGTTACTTTAAAGTTTATATGTAAAACACAGACCAGATCACGTGAGGATGGACTTCCCAGTCCACATGCATGGTTTTCTCCAGTTTTTCAATATACTTCATACAGCAGCATTTTAATAACAATTTTTCACAGTAGTAGGAATACTATTAATTGCATACATCTTGGTGCAGTTAACCATTAAAATACATTCAATAGTACAACTTCCTTGCAAAACTGATGTATTAAGGCTGAAAACAAAAAAGTTTAATTATTCTTCCCTCATCCATGTATTTCTCACACACATGCTTTACTGCTTATTCATGCTTTACTCAGTGTATGGCGTGCAGCATCTCCCTCAAATAAATCAATATTGATTAATATTTTCCCGTGGTATTAAGAAAAGTTTGGGAAGGGGTTAATGTCTTAAAGGGCAAATATTATAGCCCTCCTCATTTAATTTTCAACATCTTTTTCTTTTTTTAACATACCTGATGAACTCGATGTATGACCTTCACTGACTGATTTAACAAGCCTGTTATCACCACATGTAATTGAAGTTAGCTCTGCAGATTCTACTTGTTTTTCTTCCTGTAGATGTTCTTCCTGAAATTTATGCTGTTCCTGTAACTTGCTGTGATTCTGAATTACTTTGTGAGCCGTTTCCATGACTACTTCTGTATTTAAGTTTTCAGCAGCTATTGCTAATAGTTCATCATCATCATCCCCAAGATCCCAAGCATCACTTGTGTTACTTTCAAATTCTTGGAAGGTGCTGACTTTCTTTAGTTTCACTGGAGTTGTAGGTGCCTTTGAACCTGGTTTTATCAAGCTGTTCAAAAAACAAATAAAGAATATTTAGAGAAGCAGTAATGGAGTAAGCAAAACACTATGGATAGGGCCAAAAAACAAAAGTCCATGCTTGACATTATATAGGTAGCAAATATTTATCTCCCTCCACCCATGTTACTGCTACACCCACCCATGATAACATACAGCTGAATATGTCTGAGAACAAGAGCAGGTAAAAACTGACTCTTCATGGTTTTGAACAGAAGCTGAACAAATCTTTCCTTCCCCTGTCTTAAAAAAAAAAAAAAAACCCCAAACAAAAAAAAAAACCCAGACACCACCACCCCCACCCCACCTCCAAAAAAAAAAGACCAACCCTCAAGCCAAGTAAAATGACTACTACTAGAATAGTTTGTAACATAGACAAGACACATAGCACTTCTCTTGCTTCATGAGCTTCTGTAGAGATTTCAGGCCTTTCAATGCAATTGCTGCATAACAACACAGGAGCAGTAATCAAGTAATCAAGTCATCAGGTCTACTCCTAAGCCATCATGAGCAATCACGTAATACTGTCATAAACAAATCAAGTCTCACCTTAAGACTCATTAGATCTATCATTCCTCCCCATTCAGGCACTCCAGCACAAATTTGCTTCAGAACTTTTCTCTTCTCATAGGCTAACTCATAGGATATTTCCTCTAGTTATTAGTCTAAGTGTACCCTGACCAGCTCCTAACCTTTTGTCCCTCTGTCAATACGCCGCGTAAGAGAGATGAACCAACTATCCCTCCCCAGCTTGGCACTTGTTCTCACTTACAGTAATGCAGAGCAATCACATCTCCCTTCAGATTTCAGCTAAATAAGGCTTTAAGTTGAAAAAGTTTCCCAGTCTGCTCTCAAAAAAAAAAGTTACTGCCATTAACTTAATTGCCCTTTCTCACCATCCCTGTCTTTCCACCTGTGCTAGTTTAACTTTCTTCTGTTAAGACAAAGCAGCCAGAACTGGAAATCAGAAAAAGTTCTCTCACAGTCTTCACACAATGTAGTAATGTTTCTGTTATGCATTACCGGGAATATCTTTCTTAACAGGTGCTACAACACTAACACTTTCGCCCAACTTGTCATCATTGTCTAAAACAGCAAGGTCTTTCTCCTCTTCTGTCATCAGAAGCAATAAGCTTCTAGTTTTTGTTACTGGGTATCTCTTTATAACTCCACATTTTGAATGAATTCATTCTATTCCTTTTTCTTCAGTCCTCAACGTCACACATTTCATAGAATCATAGAATAGTTTGGGTTGGAAGGGACCTTTAAAGGCCATCTAGTCCAACCGCCCTGCAGTGAGACACTTCAACTGCCTTCAACTCTGTATCATCTGAAAATTAACTAGCACATGTTTATTTCTCATGCCATTTCAAACCAGCCCTTGAAAAAATCCACTAGAAGTATGACCTCCTTCCAAGCCAATACTTTTCCTTCTAACATTATTTTTTGTCCCTACCGCTTTGGGCCGTTCATTTCATTGGTCATACGATTTTCCCAAAATTCTCACATACACCAATGTTTTAACAGCAATGCTGGTTTCAAAGCAGCTGTGAAATCTACCAACAAACCAGAAACAACTTTGTCTTTGACAAAGCTTAAACAAACTGTCTTTCAAAAAAAAAAAAAAGACAATAAAGCAAAACATAAAAAACAGAAGCTGGCAGAATGCAGCATTTTGCTGAACACCTCAGCCATAAGGAGAGGAAAATCATTCACTTGCATTAGTTGTGGGTTATCAGCCCGAAATTTATTTGGTTACTAATGATGTTTAACATAACGTTGCCACTTTCATGTTCATTGTGTTCTGCTATCCAATAACCATGATCTAAGGCAATTAACTCTTAAATCACTGTAAATTCTACTCTACCTACTGTCATCTCACTTACAAGCAAAATGGCCACCTTTGCCTCAAAATGATCTACACCACAACCTGACTCTTTTCTCTTACAGATAGACAAATAAAGGCAATCCATCAACAGAAAGATGCATGCAGGAAAGCCGCTTACACCTGAATTGTAAACTTCATCTGCTAAATTAAGATCAGTATTTACCATATAATTTCCAATTTATAAGGCACTGCAAACAGATAATAAAAGTTGGCAATCTACATTAGTTAAGGACTGAACAGCTGATTTGTTGCTCCCGATATGGTAAGCACCAGGAAGTCACAAAAGAGAAGTTAGAACAGAGAACTCAAGATTATGATAAAAACTGAAAAAGGAAGATTAACAATAAGCTTTGTAGCCAACAGGGGAAAAAAAAAGAGGAGAGAACGCAGAGGAGTTCCAAATTACCTAGAATACTTAAAAATTAGGTTAACTTACGTTCCATGCAATAATGGATCAAAAGGTGGATGCTGAGCTCCATACACATGTTGAATACTAAAGGAAAAGAGAGAGAGTTATCACAAAAATAATAAAACATCTGGGGGTTTTCTGTGCATTAAATAAATAGTCAATAATAAACAGAACTGAAATGTTCCAACAGTTTTCCATTTCAAAAAATTCCACATACCACTAAATATAATGAAGCTGAAATCTAAATGTATACTAAAAATCATAGATTTGCCAAACAGGAGCTCTTTTTGAGGCCCAGGCTAACTTAGGCTGACTTATTTTTCTGACCAGGAATTAAAACAAGAAAAAAGTTAACTCCACAATAAGCATCTACGTGGCTTTTAACTTCTTTCTCTTTTCTGATTTATCATTTCTTCATTTATCTCTTGCAAAAAAATAAAAATTCGCAAAGAAACACCTGCAAAGATTGAATCTTCTATGTACCCTTGTCACCCAAAATCTAGCCAGTCAATTCTTAACCGCTACTAAAGTACAAGGCTGATTAAATTTAAAGAAAAATACAAAAGATGGTATGTTAGAGAATAAAAGGCAAGGGAGTATTAAGAACAAATGCTTTGAAATAAATAAGCTTCCAAAAACAGATTTATTCACTACAGTCTCTAACATTATAAAACAGCATGTTACTGTGTGAATAATAAAACTCTCTACAAACTAAAAGTTCATTTCCTCCCAGTTTTCAGCTATAAAATTATTTGTATAAGTAGAAAAACTCCACAGAAAACACATCAAGATTTACATGTGGCTTCATAATGGAAATTATTACTACAAAACTCTCTGATTGCAAGAGAGGCAAATCATATGCAACATCAACATCTACCTAAACGTGTACCAAAAACCATATAAAAGGAGACAAACATGCCCTCCTGACAAATCAAAGCCAATCTCCAGACCATAAATATAAATAAGTCCGACCTTAGTAAGCCTAAGATAGAACCAAGACAAAAAGACCGCAGTCATAACAAATTTTGAGAGGCTTAGAGTTACACTACAGGGGCAGTATTAACAGTAGTGAAATTATCCCTAGAGACCACTGAGGGCAGTAGTTTATAAACTCTATCAATTTTTATGTGATTCCATGCAAATCAAAAAGTCAGTCCACCACCAGTTTTTCTATATGACTGTATGCCATATGCTCCACGGTCAAGACCGTGCTCTCCTGCTCTATGCTCACGTGAGGGTCAGGTGTCACTTTCCATTTTGGCATACAGACAGAATCTGCCTTTTCCTTCCAACACTCTATGAATGACCATGATGGGAATCCACCCAAATATAAACAACAACAATCCTCCCCACATCATAAAAAAAAACCCCACCAAAAACAAAGCACATTCTCCACAGTGTCCTCGTTTTTCCACATGCCTGCAGTTGCCTGCAAATTAACTAACCGCAACTATTCATAGACCCTGTGTAATCGAGGAGGGTCAAAAGTGTTTTACCCCCAAAGGACTCAGCAAAGTTACAAAATAAGATGTTCAGAAAGACAAGAAGAGTTGGACTGAAAGAGTTAGTTTATAACTAGAGAAACAAAACCACTACCAGTTAGTGCTTATGGGTAACTGAGAATGGAAGAAGTTAAACGATGAGCAGGATTATTTTGCTGCACTTAGCCAAATGGTATGAAGTATAGAGTTACTGTTCTCTGAGAACCAAGAACATGCATCATTCTTACAAAAAGAATGTAGGAAACAGAATTACTCTACTGTGAGAACAGTTTAGGCATGGGAGCAGAGAATGTTATTTCTAAATAATCATCTGAACACACGTTCCCAGCCTGATGTAATGGTCAAAAGAGTTCATGTGACTTTGGGGATGTATTCCCCGGAAAATTTTGAATGGGAAAATGTGTTTGTAGCTCTTAGCAATGATACAACCACTGGGTCTGCTGTTCCCACTTCAGGAAGAAAGTTGAGAAATTGATGATATTTTGAAATATCAAGCAGAAACTAAAATATGGCTATATGCCTATAAAGTCTATAAAGTGCAGTTTCCTGCATAATATTTCAAAATGTCATAACATATACCAAGTAACAAAACTTCATAATTTGTATCATTACTAAATAGGTGCTTCCATACAAAATTTTCCACGGAAAACATCCCCAAAATCACGTTAACTCTTTTGACCATGACATCAGGCTGGGAGCACACACTCAGATAGTTATTTAACAACTTTTCTGATAGAAGTTATAACTAACACTCGCCAAGACCACCAGCCATCTTCCGTCAGGTAACTGGAGGCGTCCGACTCTTAAACACTCCGGGCACCGAGCTAACAAGAGAGAACGGAGGGAGGGACGGAGAGGCCCTATGCCAACCTCCCAGCTACGAGCAGTGGCCGACCGGACGCGCTCCCTGCAGAGGGCACAGGACCGACGAGGATCCACTGACCTCAG